GGTTAAGGTTTTGGGGTTCAGGGTTAAGGTTTTAGGGTTTAGGGTTTAGGGTTGAGTATCTCCATAATATGAGCTATAGTCTAGACTCCTATATAAGGGATTATATGGAGGGGACTACTAGGGGAGCAAGACATCAAGGCAAGATTGGCTTGAGATCATCTCCTGACGTGCACAGGCATGGGACCATGGAAAAGAAAATGGAAACTACATTATGATGAGGTACGTATTGGTTCTTGGTTCTTAGTAGGAAACATGGGAAGATAGGGGTAGCTATGAGGAACCGTGTTTGCCACTTCTTTCGCAGGTGCAACTGCCACCGGCACTTCAGGCACTCATAGAAGGTCGCACGCTGGAGTCGGTGTCTCTCAGCTGCATGTAGCCTCGCGAGACCTGGTGATAACAATTATATTTTAAGCATTCCAGCAGGCAAGGGGAATTTGTTGAAACAGATGCATGCCATAGTAAGCACGGCGTGGTGGATGAAGCATTGGACACAGCAGCTTTCGTGGATGTATCCTTTGGAACCAGGACGGAAATATTCGTTTTAGTGTGTAGACACTGGCAGGATGTAGCCTGGTCAATCAAAAATCTGGGATAATATGGGGGTTTCTCTGCAGAGGGGGCCCAACATAGACCCCAATAGACCATGATCAATGTCCTTATCATTGTCACTCCCGAAAAGGGCCCTGTTTTTTGGCAAGCCCAAATCCCTACAAACCGTTTATGCGATCCACTTTCCGTTTCATTTTCTATTTGATTACTCATTCTTGGGGTATATACTACTAAGCCTTATAATATCTAAACCGCGGTTCCATTTTCCTTTCCATCATCCTTATATAGCCCTAACTCTAATCCCTAAACCTATCATGCGTGGCCCCGTGGAACGTCAGGCCGGTGCCCGAGGACTTCGAACAGCCAGTCGCGCATATTACAGTGACGGAGAAGGTTCGGCCTCCGCAGCTGAAGAGTTACAATAGTCATAACAGCAATAATAACAGCAACACATATGGTCATGATAGTGATGCCAATAATAGTCATAATAGTATAAGTAATAATCGTAACAACAATAATCTACAGTCCTAGTTTGCAAAGGAGAGTGCTGTAGCAATCTGTGGTATTGTTCTTGCAGGAGGGTAAGAAGACGCTGAAATTGGCCATGAACTTAGAAGCAAGCATTTGGATTCTTCGCGGGAGAAGCTGCGTGATTAAAGGTCGACACGTACCCGATGATCGAGAACTCAAGGCTGATAGAGGGACAGGTGCTGGTGCAGATGCGCGCAGTGCCGCTCACGACTCTTGTCTGAAAGATTCGTCATTCCTTGGTATCCTGGCAGCCATTGCAGTTCTGAGTTCTGAAGGATGTCAGATCTCAATGCGGACAGCAGGCAACGGCAGCGAGTTTTTGGTCTTCTTTCCTTTTTTTTGATCAGCTGTTCAGGGTCCAGTCAGGAAGAAGTGCTTTGACCCTCAGGTACGGTTGTGGTGACATCTATGGGTGCCAAGGAATCGGGCAAGTTCGAATGGTGGGGCCGCGTGTCACAATGCTGAAGCCAGGACGGTTGAAAGGTACTAACATTGACAGATGTTGTAAGGCACACTTATGGCTACGGCAGCCACCATTCTACTGGTCTAGTTGGGTAGATCCACCCCAACCTCATTCCTGAAAGTTCTATCATCTATCTGGTACGCCAGCTCTTCTGTAACCCCAAACCCTAAATTCTAAACCCTAATCCCTGAATCCTAGACCCTAGGACTCCATCTCGAATTGAATGCGTAGGTTCAGACTTGCCAGCATTGGACCGGACAGGAGACTGGGTCCTTCCACTGCACGATGTCGATAGTGATGGAGACATCGACCTGGACCGCAAAGCAAGAGTAATGGTGCTACAGTGTAGCATGGGTTCAGGGTTTTATAGGGTAAGCATTCCCAATTAAAGTGCCATTCATGAGTATTTCTTACGGGGCATGGGCAGGTATATAACTACAGGGAGGTAACCCTATATAGATATTGTGAGCTCCACATAATGCCAGTTTTCATTTTAATTTTCCACTTATCCATAGATTTCCTCATCATTGGGATGCTTACCCTAAACCCTCAACCCCAAAGCTTAGGGAGAGGAGAGGATAGGAGAGCCTCTGCATCGTGGCGCAGGACGCTATGCCACCTGGCACGGGCCGCGTGCTTGGGGTTTGGAAGGCGGACAGGCCGGTCCTGTCATGTTTGCATCATGGGTTCCCTTACTTCTCCCTCCTACGAAAAAATATGGGTTCCTTACTGCTCCTCCCTGTGCTCCCCCGCCCCAACCCCGCCCCCCCCCGGCATCTCCATGGTTATAAGATCAGGCTTATAGCAGTCCCTGTGTGCTGGTCAGGTGTGCGAAGCTTGAGTTTTCAGCAGATGCTCGGCTTCCACGGGTGCATGCGGCATGTGACCGTGATGGAGGAGTCTTGTCATGACACTGCAGTGCTTCTGAGGGAACTGAGCTCAGGATTCGCCACTCAGCATTGCAAACATGGCTCCCTAGCAGCATGATTTAAGCGTAGACCTGGGCTTTCCCCTATACTGAAACCCCAGAAGTTTTCGAAGAGGCGCTGGCAAAGTCCATCGGTGCCGCCTGCCTCATGGTCCAGGAGTCGCTAAGGCTGGAACTGCACGAAGTTGCTTTGTCTTTGTGCCAGGAGCATGCATCCAAGCTGTCAGCTGGCGAGACTGTAATATTGAACTGTGCAAACGGTTACCCAGCAGCAATGCGGCGAGCGCCTTCACGACTTCTTTTCCTTGTTTGCCTAGCAACAGTGTGATCTGTCTGCTCGACTTAGGTTTGGTTGGACAGGCGCACTGCACAGGATTTGCAAAGCTGAGCTGGGAGCATTGCTTGATTTGTCCAGGTGTTGATCCAGCTTCTTGCAGCCAAAGGCTTCACCGTCCTAGCCGTCGTGCGAAAGCACAGCGGGGAAGACTGGATCAAGCAGAAGCTGGAAGGACTCGGCGCCAAGCGAGTGTTTCTGATGCAGGATGACATCCGAGGCATGTTAGAAGAGTCTGGGCAACCGCTTCCGGCCTTGGCTTTGGATGGTGTTGGGGGTGTCGCTACCAACCAGCTTGTTCAGGCACTGTCCAAAACAGGGGATCTGGTTTGCTTTGGTGTTGCCGGGGGTGGAAGCCAGCAAGCTGTTACCCTGAGCACCAGCAAGAAATGGAAGGGAAACATGCTCCAGTTTAGCTTTGATGAGTGGCTCAACAGAGACGTCACGACCAATGCCAAGATCCTGAACCAGATGTTGTTGGAGGTAACGCAGCTGGTGAAAGATAAGAAGATGCATTTCGTCATCAAGGAGTACACTACGCAAAGGTTCAACATGGCGGTTCTGAATGCAAAGCAGATTGGCAGGACTCATTGCGTCGTGTTGAATCTGCCTCGCCTGGAAGAAGTTACCAAACGATACACGGAGGAGGATGCCCTGGTACTTCAGGAAACAAGCCTGCAAAGCGACAGCAAAAGGCACCGTAGCTGGGACTTGGACTTCTTGGAGTGGGAGGACGCTGGGGCAGAGGAGGAGTACAACTGGAGAGTTGACAAAGAGAAGGGCTTGTTCAAGCTGCATCCTGATGCGGCGGATGGAGCCATCGAAAAGTATAGCAGTGACACATCCCCAACGCCCATTGCCCAGGAACTGGGAAGTAGCCCCGCCAAAGCTGAAGCGGTGCTATTCTGGTTGCCTGGCAGAGGGGAGATTCCTCAGGAGCACGCTCACTGGCTAGAGAGGCTCACAAAGGACTACAAGGAGTTGCGGGTGCTCATTCTAGAGCCCCATCAGCTCGAGCAGGATCTGAAGTGGTGCCTTGGCTCACCTTAGTGCCTTGCTTGGGCCGAGTGCATCTTTGCTTTCTCCCTAGCTGTTATGTGGAGGTACGACATGCCTCTTGGAGTGCAGATTACGGACTGCCTAGCTGCACAGGCCCTTCCAAGGGCTGGCGCTTGCCATAACAACCCAGGTCTGACAACGAAGCAGTGTGCCTTAGCTGAACAGAGTGCCTGAAAGAGAGATATGCGTCATACATTTACTGCACACAGGTACACAAATCTATGCACGTGTAGAAATGAAGGAAAACTCCAGACTGTTTTTTGCGCTGGGTAGGCAGCTGGGTCTGCGCTTTGGTGTTGTCGATGATGAGCTCGGCAATCCCAGAGGAGATCTGTCGCGATCCAAAGGCGCCTCTTGGCTGAGGTCTAAACTTCAAGAAAATACAGTTCCAACCCCATTCCAGACTCTGAGGGCCGTGTTATGTATTTTGCTGAGGCAGCCACCTTCGACATGCCCCTGCTGCCCGGTGAAATCGATGCCTTGAGACAGGCAGGACAAATCCCAAGCCTTCGAATCAGCACCTTGTTTGAGTGGTGTTGATGGGCATGCCGGCGCGTATCGCATGGATTCCCCACAACCCCACAACTATTTGGAGCTCTATCTCAGCAGAATACCACCTGGATTCAGCTTTACATGTGGAAGGTGCATTCTCATACCCACCCTAAAGCCTAAACCCCTAAACCCTAAACCCTTAAACCGTATAGCTACGGACCATCAGAGGCCTGCATGTAGCTTTTTCACCTCCATGCCAAGGCGTGAGCCTCACATTTGGGGGTTTCCTTAGGGTTTAGGGTTCAGGCTTCCCAAAATCAGGGATAATGGAGAATCAAATGGAAAAGAACATGGAAAATGACATGGATACTGTGATTATATAGGGGATTGTAGGGATTAGGGTTTCCCAACATTAGGGATACCTTTTTTGGGGTCCCCATAATAAGGATTATAGTCTATAAATTATAGTATATTGGGGTCTACATTGGGGCTCCCTATTTTGGGAAACTACCA